TTTGATTTACTCACTTTCACCAGAGTGTGGTGAGGGTCGCACAACAGAGCGAAGCTCCTTATTAAGTGCGCCCTATATCCCACCCATCCCACCCCAGGGGAGGACATCCATCACACAGTAATCTCGTGTGTGGGAAATTAACGTCTCCTACCCCACCCCTGCAGGAGACGGGACCTCCATTTATTCGTCCCTATCCGAGAAGACTAGAATATCTAACTATTTCTCGATGTTATAGAAAGGCAGCAAATTCTTCTCAATTATTTTAAGACCTTGAGTGTTGGTCCGGCCGGGACTCGAGCCCTCGACCTCCCGCACAACAGTCCAGCGCTCTATCCATTGAGCTAACCGGGAGGCGGTTCTAGAACACCACACAGCCGGTAGTGAAGATTTAATTAGTCGCTAATGATCAAAAACACAGCTCTGTAAACCCGACGAAAACCGCCAGCTACGTGTGCTGGATGTCAAAAAGGATATATAGTACAATTCCAAATACTGTCAATTTTTAAATAAGTTTCAATATTTTACCATGCATATACGGATAAATTTTGATGTCACACACAAAAGAAGAATACGCTACGCTGGCAGGACGTAAAATAAAGCATGGTGCATTCCAAATGCAATCTCTAATTCAGCTACAGTTTACCAATAAAGTTCAATTTTCTACCATGCAGTTTTGATTAGATTTGAAATTACTGACAATAACGATGAATGATGAAACGAGAACAACTTTCGTGACAGATGCGAGACTGTTTCGAGCAGCATTAGGAGCGGCGTTAGGACCCTTAGGATCAAAAAGTTGAAATGAAAACAAAATAGGGACTTAAAAGTTTTGTCGCGGATAATCAAGTTCATTCTTACACGTACATACCTCATAATGAAACCACTTTTACAAATTTTGCAGCAAAAGTGTTCACCCGACTGGCTTTTGATGCATAACTTGCCAGACCTTTGGCACTACGATGCTAACTAGTGAGATGCACCGGTTTCACCACGTAGTGTGCGTGCATTTTTTGCGTTGCGTAATTTGCCAGACCTTTGGCGCTACGATGTTGACTAATGAGATGCACCGGTTTCACCACGTAGTGTGCGTGCAGTTTTTGTGTCGCGTTCATTGGTTAAAGCCCCTCAACTCTTAATTACGGTCATTAAGCGTGTTTCACTGAAGCGAAATCTGGATAGTTTTCCCTATTCAATGCTTGTCTGTAACAAAATGAAGACGAATACCGCCATGTTTACTCAGGCTATGAACTTCGGCTCACATTCGACGCTTTTAGTTTCACGGAACTCTTCGATCCCTCATCTTGGGAGCATTATCTCGAAGCAGAAAGTCTTGTCCTGGCTGAAGCGAGGACTGAGGGCTGCACCACATGCTTTCAACACATTCCATTTGTTATGATGCATTAATTTTATAAGCTATGCACTAAATCGTTGTGTTTGAAATTTATCACTATTCGTTGTGTCTGATTTATCATCTTATGGGTTTATGTCGAATTAATCTGATGGCCTACTTCCAGTTGGCTTGTTAGCTCAATTGGTAGAGCGCTGCACTAGTATCGCAGAGGTCAGTGGTTCGAATCCCGTACAGGCCTGAATTTTTTCAGGTCTGATTTTCTCTATTGCTTAAATAGTGCTTTACTGCGAGGATCGTGCACATATAAGCTATGCACTAAGTTGCATCAATGTTTCGGCCAACACGGAAAGTATCGTCAATTGATATCTACTTATTACGGTAGCTCGGAAAAGGATGATACACCATCTTTTTCAAGCCCTCTCCGAGGTATAAGCGTGGCATACCCGCCTCCTGGTTAGCTCAATTGGTAGAGCACTGGACTGTTTTGCGGGAGGTCGAGGGTTCCAGCCCCGGCTGGACCAACACTCAGGGTCTTAAAAAATAACTGATATCAAGAAATGGATAGATATTCTAGTCTTCTCGGCGAAGGACGAATAAACCGTAGTCCCCGTCTCCTGCAGGGTTAGGGGTAGGAGACGTTAATTTCCCACACACGAGATTACTGTGTGGTGGATGTCCTCCTAGGATGGGATGGGTGGGTATTAAAGGGCCCGCAGTAACTGGCTACCCACTGTTGCGGTTCCCCTGTCATACGTGGAGAAGTTAATAAATTAAATTAAGCTGGTTATACTGTCGCTCCAGTTATCCAGTAATTCCATGGTATAAAGGCAAAATGAGATGAATTACTGAGATCGCAACTTATCGCTGGGATACAGACTATCATTCCCTTATGAAGCGTTTCTACTTGATCTTGATCCCTTAAGAGATCACCTCGCTCAGTTCAAAGTTTATGATGATTTAAACAATGGAGATTACATGCTTGCACTTCTTTAAACTTTTTGAGTGACTCTAATGACAGTTCATCACACCCCATGTTGGTTTTGTATCTCCTGATTTAAAATAGTCGCTTAAACATAGCCTATTTTGTTTGGTAATGGTATCCAGGTAGTTAGAACTACTTACTACTGTTTTTCGCGAGTCAATGAAAGCTTGCAAGTTATGAAATTATAGCTGGAAGATTTTGCACCGTCGCTACTTCTAATAAAGCATCTTCAAAAGAAACAAAATAAAAGTTAAATTACTTGCTTGCTGGAAATGTAGACCTTCTTATGGTTACAAGATTTTAATTTTGGCGAGGGTACGTATATGCATAAAGTATCACAGTCGATGCATTTGAATGATGCGAAATAATCCAGAAATTTCCATGATAAAACACCTTGTTTTAGGAAAATACATACATCTTGCTTAAGTTGAAAGCTTAAGCTTAGCTATGGACATCGGCTGTCTGAACGGATGCAACTTAACTTTGGAAAATTCCTGTGCTATACATACAATGTAGAGAAATTCCCATAAAATGTTACCTTCACAATGGTCTTCTGTAATTTCGAAGTTTCGCCGGCAGTAAAGGGTTCGTAGTATAGTTAGTTTTTTTTCGTATGACTTGTCATGTTCAGTTTAATCTCAAAACGACATTTGGTCCGAATTACGACCATTACATAGAAACGCTTGAAATTTATTATGTCAAGCCTTCCGGACATGAAACACGGCAGAGTTCCTAAAAGGAATTTTATCCCTCGTTGCTATAGATAGAGATTTTTACGACTGAATGATTATAAAACGTTAAGTTAAGTCAGCTCTTTTCCACTTAGTTGGTGATTTGACCCTTGCGCGCTTACCTGCTAACCTCGGGAGCATCACTGTCTATTTCTATTTTCGTCCGAAATGAAAAAAGTGCTTTCAGGACAAAAAACAACTGAGCCTAAGTACATGAAATTCAAAGAGATACATATTAAAGCTGCAAGAGTAAAGAACACAGAAGCTAACGATTTGAAAAAACTTGTACGCGAAAACTACACAATTGAAATGACTCTGAAAACTTATAGGTAAGATATAAATTGGTCATAGAAACAATCAGTCATTTGATCTAAAACATGTTGAAAGTACAGTTTGGCGACAGTATGTACAGGCAGGGACACGATTACGTTAGCAAAGATGAACCCTGCATGATATATGCATGGCAGTTATCTATGAGCCTTATTATTAATGATTTTCACCGTGACTCAAAGGCAAGACTGGATAGCCCCGATAAAGTCGGCTTTACCGTTTAGCTAACAGACTAAACCTATGGCTCCCTAGAAGAACAGAAACAACAGAATTACTCAACCTGTTGTCATGTTGTCCCTCCTCGTCTGTTCTGAACTCTTCCTTTCCTTCTGTATTGGAGGGGAAAGGAAAACTCATGTCGTCGCTTCGGTGATATGGCACCTC